TGCCTTTAGGCTTTCAGATTAAGCCTGTAAAAGTTAGTTTCTGTCAAAACAATTTTTGAGGTGCCGCAAGGGGTTGGATTTTTTTCTTTTTCATTTTTAAACATATTTTTTAAAATTTATATCTATAAACTGTTTTTATAGGTTTAAAGTAAAAAATGATCCTTCACATTTCCTTTTATAACGGAATTCGTGTAAGGAGATAGTTAAAATTTTTAGTTCTTACATTTTTAAAAAAATTTCACCTTTTTTAATACTTTATAACATAATTTCATGGTATCATAAAGTGCCAGCGCAATTTGAAGTGACCTTGGGTGAAGTCATATATTATTGTCAGGAGCAAACCAATCGCATTAACATATTCGTTGCGGATTCGTAGGAAGGTACTTCAATATAGACAACACGTATTTTTTCAACCCAGTTACTGTAACATTGAATTTGCTGTTTAGATGTTATTCAGTTATTAAATTGAAAACGGCTATAAGTAATACCTGCGCTGAACCTTTGTTGTAAGTATCTACAGCAACACGTGCTGTTTCGCTACGTGCAGGACGGATTTTAACAAACGAAACATGAAACAAATGACGGTGTCAAAAGACATCATCCGCAGCGAATGTGTTAAGAGTGTAGGCATTATAAGCAAGCATGCCAATTGGTGTGGTCGTGCACCCATAATAATATAAATTGTACGTTAGATAGGTGTGAATTATCTGTTGTGTATCGCGAGGTGTGTGCTATAGAAAAATAATAATTCACTATTTCCGAGATCTTGTTGGCGAGTGTAAAAGAAAATGGAAACGCTAAAAAAAGTACAAACTAGACAAGCAGTTGAGTGTCCTATATTTGGCTGTACAAAGGACTTAAATGACAACGTTCTTCCCAGTTATGAAGATATTATGAAGTGTTACTTGTACATACGGCAGGAATTAAGAGCACTGAGCGAAAAGGAACCAACGGTAGGTGAACTTACTGACAAATTAGTTCCAAAAGTTGAACGAATATGGGTAAGAGCTTCTATTCCCATTGTCTCTCAAACTAGAGTATCACAGATGATAAAGTCATGTCATGAAAAATATAGAAATCTTTTAAAATCAAAGGGCAGAAAAGGAACTCAGAAGTATGACTCAAATTTAAACACCTTTAGAATAAATTCAAAGCAACTTTTTGATATAGCAGCCTGCAAATGTTCTGATTTTGCGAGGTGTGAATGTGAAAAAATTAAGAAAGTCCCTATTATTGAAAAAGCGTTTTTGCAAGACCAAAGATCACAGAGGCACATGGTCATATGTAGTGTTGACAAAGCCACTACTAAACAAATTGCACACAAGGAGATAAGGAAGCAAGAACAACATTGCAGAATTTTTAAGTATAGAGAAGAGAGATCGGATAATATACGAATGAAACTGGAAAGTTTAAAAAGTACAAAAGAAACCAATGAATTTGATTTAGACTCCAAGGAAGAATCCGAGGAAGAAGTTTCGCCAGTACGTCTACCATCATCGTCAGCGGTTGAGAATTCGCGTTTAGAACCATCAACCTTGCAGATGCAGATGCGTGTTAAATTGCCGTCGCTAGCATCTATCTGTGATAGAACTGAGGTTTCGGACAGAGCAGCGGCAGCCATTGCCAGTGCAGTACTTGAAGATGTTGGATTGATTACACCATTAGACAACACCAAAGTAATTGATAGGATGAAAGTAAGAAGAGAACGAAAAAGGAATCGAGAAAGGCTTACTGTGAAATCGGGTCATGAAACAGATGAGTTACAGAATCTTAGAATTAAAGGCTTCTACTTTGACGGAAGAAAAGATCATACTATTGTACAGGAAAAAAAAGGAACCAAATATTATCGTAGAACCATCTTAGAAGAACATATCTCTTTTGTAGAAGAACCTGAATCAAAATATTTAGGTCATGTTAGTCCGGAATCAAGTACTGCACTTAACATTAAAACCAGTATTGGTTCTTTCTTGCAGAAAAAGCAAATCAATATTTCAAATATCACAATAATAGGATGCGATGGTACTGCTACAAATACAGGGAGTACTAATGGAATTATTTCCCTGCTTGAAAAAGAAATGGGAAGACCCCTGCAATGGATAGTTTGCCTCTTTCATGCAAATGAACTCCCTTTTCGTCACCTCTGCAGATTTTTAAGCGTCAAATCTACAGAGCCAGCGAGATATGCAGGAGATATAGGCGACAAGATTGGTAATTGCGAAGAACTTCCGCTCGTTAACTTTAAACCAATCGAAGGATATCTGCCGGATATACTAATTGTATTAAAAGATTTGAGCACTGATCAAAAGTACCTTTTGGAAATATGCCAGGCAATTTCTAGTGGTATATGTTCTCCTGATATAGCAAAAAGGAACCCAGGTAAACTTTGTCATTCACGATGGCTCACAACTGCAAACCGCATTCTCCGTCTGTACATTGGTAGTGAAAATCCTTCAGAAGAACTCTACATCTTGACTGAATATGTAATGAAAGTTTACGCTCCCGTCTGGTTTAATATTAAGCTCAAACCGTCTTGCGTTCATGGTTCTCAGCATCTATGGAGACTGATCAAATTGTCGCGATACCTTCCACGGCATCTTTGGATATTATTGACCCAGTGATCCAGAGGAATGGCTATTTTGCTGCTCCTGAAAATCTTCTTTTAGGGCTGCTTACAGATAAACGCAAAAATATTCGAGAATTGGCACTTCGACGAATCTTGAAGGCAAGAACCATTCACAATGAAGGCATTAGGAAGTTTAAAATTCCTGTAATCAACTTCAACGCTAATGACTACGTCGATCTAATTTCATGGCATAATTATGAAATCACTGAGCCTCCGATGATACAACAATTTGAAGAAGATGAACTACGACATCTGGTAGAAATAACTTCAGAAAACTGTACGGAAAAAGATCTGCCAATCAAGTTTTCACAGTTTCCTTGTCATACACAAGCGGCAGAGAGGATGGTGAAACGCGTAACTGAAGCTTCATCTGCTGTCTGTGGAGAAACTGCAAGGGATGGATTCATAATGGCTAAGATCGAATCGCAAAAATTGATGTCTTCTTTTGAAACGAAGAAACAGTTTAAATTAAAGACATATCAATAAAAAATTTCATGTTTAATGATCTAATTACATCTAACATTTTCATTAAAATCAATTTTTTCATTATTATTTTGTGAATGAGAAAATAAAGAAATCTTTTGAAATGATACTTTTTATTAGCTACTGCCAATCCTTCTCATCTAAGATTATCGTTAAAATGTATTAAGAAAAATTATCTGGTGGAAACAAATGGCAAATTACTGTAAATTACTGAAAAAATCACGAAAACCGCACACAATCAGTTAATATTAATTTTTGAAAGGCTTGCGGCACCTCAAAAAATTTGTTGATCACGTTCAAACTTTGGCAGCTTAAATATCATTTTAAAAGACAACTTTTGCCCACTATTAGAAGCCATGAACAATAAAAAAATATTTTGCCCCTATATTTCGTTCCACCCTATATGGTCACCCGAGGGGACCCGAAAGAAATAGTCCACGAATAATTTCCGACAATGTTGTTTCTCCGACATATATAGTGACTCTCAAAAATATTCGGACACTAAGTGTGGTTAACTTTATGGCTCAATATTTCGGTTGTGTATAAATCAATCACCCTGGTTAATTTTTCTAATAATAAGTCATTTATTAATGATGATAAACATATACCATTTATCTACGAAATTCACATACATGTGGTGAATGAGCGGCGTGGCGCGTGAGTGTGACCGTGCGACGCGAGGATAATGTAAACAGGTGTTAGTTTTTAAGACGGGGACCCGGTTGGAGAGGCAGTCATCGCCCTGCACCGAAGCCGAGCACTTATAAACGTCAGTCAATAAACCTATCTTTTTTGTTGTTAAACATCTGCTCCTGCCATTTTATTCTATCATCAGGGATTCCCTTGTATATCCCCAATCCGCAAGGGCAAGAATCCCACATACATTGTAATGCAGAAATTTTCTAAGAAAATAATGCCGTATTTTCTGCTCACAAAAATATTCGAACACGTATTATATTTCTCTGCTTATGTCCTTCTGGTAACGCGCTACTCCAATGGAGCAAAAACATGTGTTTACAAACAGCATTTAGAAGTACCTTAGAAGTCCTTGTACTCCTCACTACTCAGTAGCAAATGTGACTTTGCCCAGAATGAGTCGCAAAGGAAAAAATACGACATTTGATATGCGACAATTTGTTATTTTCCATCGGGGAAAGGGAAAAACTTATTGAGAAATTGCAGCCATGCTTCGTATGAGCAAGAGTACAGTTGCGGATATCTGTCGACAATTTCATATCGAGAATCGCATCGAGTCTATCCCGCAAATTGGCAGACCAAATCTTCTAAGTACTAGGGAGAAAAATAGAATTATTAGAAAGGTGAAGAAAAATCCGCAAATAAGTGCTCCAAAAATAGTTAGTGAGCTATTAGAAGAAAGTTCTAAGGAAGTGTCGGCCGAAACAATTCGCAGAACGCTTCGGCAAGCTGGTTACAACGGCAGAGTAGCTAGGAAAAAACCGTTTATTAATGAGATTAATAGGAAAAAACGAATAAGCTTTGCAAAGGAGCTAATTTCCAAGGATGAGTCATTGTAGAAGGGTGTAATATTTGCCGACGAAAGCAAATTCAATATCTATAATTCCGACGGAAGAGCTATGGTGTGGCGAAAACCGAATCAGGAATTCCATTTCAAAAACACAAGAGGTACGGTGAAACACGGAGGAGGTAGTGTAATGGTTTGGGGTTGTATTTCGTCATATGAAGTTGGAAGTTTGGCGTTTATTGACAACATTATGGGTAAAAACGTTTACTTAAATATACTTAAAAACAATTTAGCTCAAAGTGCTGCAAAAATGGGAATTAATAATACATTTAAGTTCTACCAGGACAACGATCCCAAGCACAGGGCACGCATTGTACAAGAGTTCTTATTGTATAAATGTCCCAAAATTCTTCATCCTCCACCACAATCACCGGACCTTAATCCTATCGAAAATTTATGGGATGAATTGAATAGGAAAATTCGGAAAACACCGATTTTTTCAGAAAATGAATTAAAACAAAGACTCGAACATGAATGGGCGTGTATAACTACAGAATATTAAAAAAAAATTATAAATAATATGTCAAACAGGCTAAAACTTATTTTAAAGCAAAATGGTTTCGCCGCGAAATATTAAAATTATGCTATAATATTAAATAAGGGATAAAAATGAAAAGTGTCCGAATATTTTTATGAACCAAAAATGCAACAAAAATTTATTTCTTGCCGTCGTATTTGTTTGAAAAATTGCTATATGTATTTAGAGCGGAGGAAGTACTTGGGTTTTGTAAATGTCGCGATGAAGATGGCAGAGGTGTTGTAATTAAAGTCTCTGTGGTATAGTCATTTTTATTAGATAATTCCTGTAATTCTAGTTCTGAAACTATTGCGAAAGTCCGGGCCTTGGCTATTGCTTGATTATACGGAGTTAATTTATTTACTGTTGCTGCTAAACTTTTAAAAAATAGTTCGTTACTGTCATCGATATTTCTATTTTGTACAGCATAATTCATTACTGTTTCGGATGCCATATCTGATTTTCTTTTTTTATTATTTTTAGATTTATTGGCTATTGCGTGTATATTGTCTGGGTTGGGTGATGAAATTTCGTTGGAGGTTAAATCAGTAGTTTCCTGTGCAATATCATTTACTTCTACACTTAAATTACAGGCTATATCTAGTGATGTAATGCATTCCCTCTCTTTGAAATATGGAATTAAAAAAGACATTTCGTCCTCGAATTTCCATTTTTTTATTTTTGTCGAGGCCTGCCCGCTGCTGGTGTCCCTCCTTTTTTTTAGGGCTCTACGAAAACAGTCTCGTAACAATGTCCATTGCTTCTTGCAATCTTTAGCTGGAAAGATGAAATAAAATTAATAATTACCACGCATATAAGTATTGCAAACTTAATATATGTATATAGTGTTTTTCAGATTTTTAGTAACTAGAGACTCATACAGAACAATAGCATTCAATTATCGATTAGGTCATACGACTGTATCACGTATTGTAATTGAAGATTGTGATGCAATAATTACACATCTCATGCCAGAATGTATGAGTGTACTCAGTCGAGAAAAATGACTTGAAATAGCGGATGAATTTTGGAAAACGTGGAATTTTCCTAATTGTATTGGTGCGGTGTGGCAAACATGTACATATTTTTGAACCACCTAACAGCGGTTCTCTGTACTACAATTATAAGAAAACATTTTCTATTGTATTATTGGTTTTGGTAGATGCCTATTATAAATTTATAGCAGATGATATTTGGTCAAACGGAAAGAATAACAATGGCGGTATATTGAGTAACTCAAAATTAGGAAAGTGTCTTGCACTGAATAAGCTCAATACGTATATCAGAAGATAAAAAATTACCAAATACTGATATTGTGATGCCTCGTGTCATTGTTGGCGATGAAGTCTTCCCCTTAAAAAAATTCCCCTTATTAAGACCGTATCCCAAACCGCAAATTCATGATCCCGCTAAACAGTACTATAATCGTCGACACTCACGAGCGAAACGAGTGTCGGAAAATTCATTCGGAATTTTAACACAAAAATTCCGAATATATCTACGAACAATTCAATTACACCCGCAAAATGTTGACAAAATTATTTTAACGACCTGTATTTAACATAATTATATTTTATCTTCCCGCGATTTTCGACCATCGGATATCGGCATGGAACCTTTAGAAACAACCATGCAAAATCTCCTTCTGCAAAGTGGTAGCAATACTTCAACCGCATTTTATATAAGGGAAGTATTTAAAGATTTTGTTAAGAATGTATGTTTTGTGTTTAAACTCCGCCGTACAAGGCGCACGCAATATTCAATTGTCTTGTGGGGTCGAGACTTATGGTCTCGTCCGCACGAGAATATATGGGAGCATTTTCCCGACAAGTTGCGAATCCGCCGTAAGGCTGCGCGCGCAGCGCAGCAGGGCGAAAGCGCGTCCTCCCGAAAAAGCAAGGACGCTCAGGACACTGCTTTGTGAGAACTCCGCGAAGAAGCACCCCAAAAAGAGAAAGATTTAGACTCCTGGTTTTCACGACAAAGACTTGTACGCCTTGCGTCTAATAAAGTACTAATAGTTATTGTTATTGTTACGTACAACGTGTTCAGTTATTTTGAATATCCATGTCCGTAGTCGTAGGGGTGGGCCTACGTACGCACGCACATAATTCGTGGAAACGAACCACGTGCATTAAATAAGAAGTAACCCACAACTGGTGACGCCGACGAGTCTTTACCGTCGAATTGTCGAGCAACTGAACGAGCCAGATCAAGGATCCAGAGGATCCAGAGCAGGAGGGTGCAACTGACGCCATGGGACGCACGTGTTGCTGGATCAGCGTTCCACATCGTGGGGACACCTCGGCGTGCAGCGCAGAGGATAACGTGGACCAGGACACGGGGAACGAGTTCCGGCCAAACGGCAAAAGGAAGCAGAGGGCTGCGTGGAGCGTCAGGAAAAGCGTGAGCAAGGTGAGCTAAGGGTATCAAGATGGCGGTGAACAACGCCACAAGCGACGGCCATCTTGGAAGCGTCGATTCGTACCGCGTCCCCAAGATCCCGAAATTTTTTCGCGACGATCCGATGCTATGGTTCTTACAAGTAGAGGCTACATTCAATACCGCGCGGATAACGGATGCGAGAATGCGGGTAGATTACCTAGTCGCGGCGTTAGATCCGGAGGTCGTATGCTCCATTAGGGATTTGCTAACAGGGCCACGATCGGACGAGATATACGATCTTGTAAAAGCGCGTATTATGTCTGCGTACGCGGCATCGGCGGAAAGCCGGCTCCGGCAGTTATTGAGGGGGCAGGTTACGACAGAAGGGAAACCGTCGCAAATATTATATCGGTTGCGTGCCCTGGACGACGGTCGATGCGATGACGAGGTGATGCGCTCTATTTTCTTGGAGCAAATGCCAGAAATGGTGAAAACCATTTTAGTAGCGACAAAAGTAGCGAAGTTACAAGATCTCGCGGAACTTGCGGATTAAATATTCGAGTCCACTGCACAAAGCAGTCACGTCGTCGCATCGGTCGATGTGAGGGATCGGTCGAACCGCGATTCGATGGAGGCGAAGCTCGACAAACTGACCGACGCGGTATTAAAGATGTCGGCCAGCTTCGAGCGCCTTGAGAAAGCGATGTCACGGTCGCAGTCGAAGTCACGGAAACGCGGGTTTGCCGGTCGTTCGAGCGAGCGAAATCGAACGGCTCCGACGCTAACCCCCGCGGTGTGCTGGGCCCATAGTAAATTCGGGGCCGAGGCATACGCGTACAAGGACCCCCAAAATTGTACGTGGCCGAAACCGTCACCGCGGACGGAAAACTAGAGATACCTTCCCCCGCGGGGACGGGGTGTGAGAGTAGTAAGTCAGTATTAAATTCAAAACGTCTCCACGTCCAGGACAGAATTTCGGGACAAATATTCTTAATAGATACGGGTACAGACATCTCTCTTTTGCCTGTAGCCAGGAATTGCAAGCCCGTGGCCAGCGGTCTGCGGCTCTATGCCGCGAACAATACGCGTGTCGACACGTATGGCGATTCGACACGCACCATTCAAATCGGTCTACGACGACCGATCACATGGAACTTTTGCGTGGCAGACGTGCCATACCCGATCGTAGGTGCTGATTTGTTGACGCACTTGAGAGGGCGTAAAATAATAGATTCGCTGACCAAATTGCAAATTCGGTGCACGACAAAGAACGTGAACCACGTCTCGACGCACACCGTTGATCGCTCATCGGGAATCACGGGCATATTACTCGAATTTCCGGAAGCGACGGGAATATCCCAAGCAGTTCCGCTACAGGAACGTGGGGTATTCCATTACATTCAGACCAAAGGGCATCCGGTTGCCTCGCGCGCTAGGCGCCTCGCACCAGACAAACTCAGAGCAGCTAAGCTGGAGTTTCGACGTCTGATGGAGGCTGGGGTGTGTAGGCCATCAAGCAGCCCGTGGGCCAGCCCCATACACATGGTCCCCAAAAAAGATGGGGAATAGAGAGTGTGCGGGGATTATCGCGCGTTAAACAACATTACAGTTCCGGATAGGCATCCCTTACCGCACATTCACGATTTTTCAGTAAATTTACACAAAAAAACAGTATTTTCTTGCTTGGATATTCATCAAGCCTACCAGCAGATCCCGGTAGCGCCGGAGGACGTTCCTAAAACCGCCGTGATTACACCGTTCGGCTTGTTCGAATATTTGGCAATGCCGTTCGGGTTACGTAACGCCGGTCAAACGTTCCAACGGTACATGAATCGCGCCCTCGGCGACTTGGAATTTGCATTCGTATATGTAGACGACATACTTATTGCTTCCGCGTCGAGGGAAGAACATATCGCGCACACGCGGACAGTCCTTGAGAGACTTAACAAGTTTCATTTGAAAATTAACGTCGAAAAATGTCAATTCGGGGTACCAGAATTGACGTTTTTAGGCCATCTAATTAATAGAGAGGGTTACAAACCGACACCCGGAAAAATTGACGCGATTCAGAATTTTGTGAAACCCAAGACAATCGTCGAGTTGCGTCGATTTCTTGGAATAATAAATTTTTATAGACGGAGTATACCTCATGCCGCCACTCTCCAAGCACCCTTAAACGCGTACCTTACGCAGTCGCGGCGAAAGGATAAAACGAAAATTAATTGGTCGGTAGAGACCGAAGAGTCCTTTTGGAAAGTCAAGGAAAGCCTTGTAAACGCGACCTTGATAGCGCATCCCTCGGGGGACGCCGAGACGCGGGTGGTCACAGACGCATCCGAATTTGCAATGGGGGCAGTGTTAGAACAGAAACTAGAGGATACGTGGAAACCTCTGGCATTTTATTCAAAGAAATTCAATCCCGCTCAACAGAGGTACAGTACCTACGATCGGGAGTTGACAGCAGCTTATTCTGCTGTGAAACAATTTGAGAATTTCCTGGAAGGACGCGAGTTTAAAATCGTGACGGATCATAAACCGCTTATATATGCATTTATGCAGCGCGCTGATAAGGCCGATCCACGTCAGGTGCGCATGCTGTTGTATATAAGTCAGTTTACGACCCAGATCGAATTCCTTCCAGGGGTCGACAACATCGTGGCCGATTCAATGTCGCGCATAGAGTCCATAAGACTGCCCACGGACATTGAGCTGTGCGAACTGGCGTAGGCACAAGAGAGTGACGACGAGTTGGAGAGGATTCGAGACGATGTCAACCATCCTCTCAAACTCGTGCGGCTTATGTGGGATCCGGCCCACACGCGATTGTATTGTGAACAGTCCGGCGAAACTGTGCGCCCTTACATACCCGGTGCCCTAAGGAAAAAAGTTTTCCATTTGTTTCACGCGCTGGCACATCCGAGCGCGAAGGTAACGGACAGGATAATTCGGCAAAGATACGTATGGCCGAATATGTGTCGCGACGTGACGAGCTGGTGCAAAAATTGCATTCCGTGCCAAACATCGAAGGTCACACGCCACGTGCGGAACAATCCGGCACCGTTCGTGGCACCCGATGGTCGAAACGACCAAATCCACGTGGATATAGTAGGGCCATTGCGGGAATCGGTCGGATATCGGTATATATTGACCGTGCTATTCACGTGCCGTTACGTGAAATAGGGGCGCCAACGGTGGCGAAAGCATTTTTTGATACCTGGGTGTCTCGTTACTTAGCCCCCAAGGTAGTGACAACTGACCAGGGGACACAGTTTGAGTCCCAATTCTTTGCGTCGTTACTGTCGCTCATCGAGTGCCAACGAACGAGAACGAACGCATATCACCCGGCATCCAACGGGATGATCGAGCGGTGGCACCGAGACCTAAAAGCGGCG